ATCGATGAGACGCAGGTGTGGGGTCCAGGATGGAAACCGATGAGACGCAGGTGGGGTTCCAAGATGGAAATTGATGAGAAGCAGGTGTGGGGTCCAGGATGGAAATTGATAAGACGCAGGTGTGGGGTCTAGGATGGAAACAGATGAGACGCAGGTGGGGTTCCAAGATGGAAACCGATGAGACACAGGTGTGGGATCCAGGATGGAAATTGATGAGACACAGGTGTGGGGTCCAGGATGGAAATCGATGAGACACAGGTGGGGGATCCAGGATGGAATCGATGAGATGCAGGTGTGGGGTCCAGGATGGAAACCGATGAGACACAGGTGTGGGGTCCAGGATGGAAACCGATGAGACACAGGTGTGGGGTCCAGGATGGAAACCGATGAGACGCAGGTGGGGTTCCAAGATGGAAACCGATGAGACACAGGTGGGGGATCCAGGATGGAATCGATGAGATGCAGGTGTGGGGTCCAGGATGAAAACCTATGAGACGCAGGTGTGGGGTCCAGGATGGAAACCGATGAGACGCAGGTGGGGTTCCAAGATGGAAATTGATGAGAAGCAGGTGTGGGGTCCAGGATGGAAATTGATAAGACACAGGTGTGGGGCCAAGGATGGAAATCGATGAGACACAGGTGGGGGATCCAGAATGGAAACCGATGAGACACAGATGTGCGGTCCAGGATGGAAATGATGGCAAGAAGCAAAACTAAACAGAAGGAACAAACTCTGAAATAAATTATTGCGCAAGCATTCCACAAAGGAGTACATGTCAACTGCCACCTTTGGTCAGAGTTAACGACCTCATGTGATCAGTTAGCACTCTGACAATGTGTTGGGCATGACTCTCAGCTACTACCACACCTAGTTTTAGCTCAAAATTTGTATCATTTTCTGAATTTGACATCACAGGACTTATTTTTTTACAACATGTGCTTTATTTCTTCACATTTTGTATAACGTATTGTATTATTTTATTAACTTCAGATAAAAATAACGTTAAAATAACATCCATGGTAAAATGTGTGACTCATTGATCAGAGGCTCATTAGTCTCCACTTCCTGTAAATTCTTCTTCTCTAAAGTCAGTGATAGAAGCTGGAAACAAACATGTCAGTAATTGCAGGGTTGGAGGCGCCTGATGCGTCTTGATAAACACCAAAGAACAAAACAAGAGTCGAAAATCTGACGGAGAAAGAGTCTGTGGGTTAGATAAGTGTCCAGTGAATCCTGAACTCTGATTGGACGTCTGCGGCAACATTAATGTCCTCAGTGTGAGGCGTCGGAGTGTTTGGGGACTCTGTGGTGCGCCGGCCGATCTGCGAGCAGTGGGGGACAGACAGACAACAGACTCACATCAACTATCGTCTGATTGGCCCAGCGGGGCGGCAAGGGACGCCCATCGACAGCAGAGAGGAAAATAAGACAAACATGGAGGGGGGGGGGGTTAATCTCCTCTGATTCTGTAGATATACACCTTAAAGAGAAGCTAAAGTCAACAGAGAGCTGAAGAATCAGAGGGGGTTCACTTTGTGAGTTTTTATTATTCTGATTCAGTCAAGAACTTGGAGAAGGTCTTCAGGATTCAGTTTCCTCCAGGCTCGTTCATCTCATTTTGAAAAATGAGGTTCTGGACGAGCTCAGGTGACGTCATGAGCTCACGCTCGACGGTAGAGCTCAGAGTACGTGTCGGATGACTCTCAGCTACTGCCACGTCAAATTTTAGCTCCTATAATCGTCTACGTTAGACGATTATAGGAGCAGTTTATGAGACTGATGATGATGATTAGCTGTGGTGGCCATCTTGGATATGAGTTTTTTTGGCACATGATAAAAATGATAAATATGGCTGATGGTTTTAATGGTCAAACAGGACAGGTAAAATCTGTTTCAAGTCACCAGAATAGTTTTTGATTCTCAGACTGATCCTGCAGTATCGGGACCGTCCTCACTGATAATCCTGATCCAGTTCTCTGGTTCCGTCTGCAGCCCTTTGACCCGGGTAACCCGAGTTATACTGACCCCTGAAGGGAAAGCTGCTCCAGAAGGAATAGATATTTAATAAAAGGTGAAAGAGCACCGGATTAAACTGGTTTAAAATAAAACAAAAAAGTTTCTGAAGGCAGCAGATTTATTTATTTATTTATTTCAGATTAAAGGAGCCGACAGCTGAGGAGTGAATCCTCAGAGATACTGACATTTTCCTATATGCTATATGACAGATATGACCGATTAGTTCAGCAGGCAGCCTCATCGATAACCTGCCTGCCAATCAAACGTGACCTTTAGCAGAAAGGTGATGAATGAACCGGAACCACGGGGCGATCCGATACCGGCCTTTCAATCCATCAGGCCCGATGCAGAGGAAGGATGAAGGAGCTGAGGACGGGGTCAGTTTGGGTCGACACGTTCGTCTTCATCACAACATGGACCCAAACAGGAGTTTGTGGTGTTTATTACAGGAACAAGCAGTTAAAGCGCAATTACTCTGATCTAGAAACAGTCTAAAGAGAGACGGAGCTCACCAAAAACTTTAAAGTTGCCCTTGATCTCAACGTCACCAGACGTCACGCTCAGAATATGAGTTGTGAAATACTCTCAGCTACTACCACACCAAATTTTAGCTCATTATCTGTGAAAACAACTGAGTGATTGACATGTTTGTGTTTCCTACTGTTAATCAGATGTGGCGGCCATCTTTAATCAAACTGGCTCTAAAAGTTAACTAGCTCTAGATATTGATCCAAGAATTACATGCTGAGAGTTTCATTAAAATCCATCCACTGCATCAGGAGATATTTTGCTAACAAACAGCCACAAGTACACAAAGCCTTAGACGAAGAGAAACATAAAACAGGCCTACCTCCATCTTCCTCCAGATGTGGGGGTCTTTGTCCGGACCTTGGACATCCTCCAGCAGCTGTTGGACCAGAGAAGCAGATCCCCTCCCATCCACAGGGAGCGCTGTGAGCTGCAGACACGCCTCTGCGGACCTCCTTCCCTCCTCCTCAGACTGCAGGTCACTCAGAGGACCAGACTCTATGCTTTCATCCAGCGACTGAGCCATGTCACTGGAGGAGGACGGGCTGAAGCAACTGACGGGGACTCGTCTGGAGGGACGCTGAGGGGGCGGAGCATGAGACAGATGCTTAAAACTGATTCACTCAGAAAGACAGTGGGAGGATTTAAAAAGAGGAATCGTCTTACCTGCAGTGGTGGAGGAGATGGAAAGTCGTCCCCGCTGCTCGTGTTGTCCCTGTTCTCGGCTCCGTCCCAGTCGGGGTTGAGCTCCGTCAGCTCCCAGTCATCCACGTCCTGCAAAGCCTTCTGTGTAAAATCATCGTTTCTCTGCAAACAAACATTCAGATGAATTCAAGGAACCAGAACGATTTTAAAATTTACACTGTAAAACTAGAAAAACGTGAGAATGCTGAGGGTTGAGGCTAGCTAGCAGCTAAGTTATCAGAGACTAGCTGAAAGTAGCTAAAAGCTAGCTAACAGTTAAAAGTAGCAAAAGAAAATAGAAGCAGTCATTTTTCTAAAGCAGATTTCAAAGAAACATATTTTTGAAGGAACTGTAGAGATCTCAATGTATCGGTAAAATATTTGTTGAAAAAAAGTTAAATGTCTTAAAAAGTATAAAAGTTACAAAAACCAGAAGCCATATTCATCTCCTGAACGAGCCAAACAATTTGATTTATGAACAGCCGACTCAGCATTCACACTTTTACAGTCAGAGAAGAAAGAGAGCTCAGTTTTTTTACTGACCAGAGGGACGGACTGAGTCAGGCTTTCCAGTTTCAGAGCCAGCATCTCAGTTTTATGGAGCTGAGCAGGAAGAGCCAAGAACTCATCTGAACCGTACCAGTGCTCCCTATCCGGAGCAGTTTTTAATGAGGTCTCCTGTTGGACAAGAAAAAAAGAGGAAATATTCACATATGGTAAAAAAGTTTCAAACTGACAAATAACTAAACAAACTACAGAATTGTTGGAGCCACAGGTGTTCCTCAGGGTTCAGTTCTATGACCACAGGCGATCCTCGGGGTTCAGCTATATGACCACAGGTGTTCCTCAGGGATCAGTTCTATAATGACAGGTGTTCCTCGGGGAACAGTTCTATGATCACAGTTGTTCCTTGTGGTTCAGTTCTATGACCACAGGTATTCCTCAGGGTTCAGTTCTATAACGACAGGTGTTCCTTAGGGTTCAGTTCTATGACCATAGAAGTTCCTCAGGGTTCAGTTCTATAATGACAGGTGTTCCTTTATTCAGTTCTATGACCACAGGCGATCCTCGGGGTTCAGTTCTATGACCACAGAAGTTCCTCAGGGTTCAGTTCTATAATGACAGGTGTTCCTTAGTTTCAGTTCTATGACCACAGAAGTTCCTCAGGGTTCAGTACTATGACCACAGAAGTTCCTCAGGGTTCAGTTATATGACCACAGAAGTTCCTCAGGGTTCACTTCTATGATGACAGGTGTTCCTCTGGGTTCAGTTCTATGACAACAGAAGTTCCTCAGGGTTCAGTTATATGACCACAGGTATTCCTCAGGGTTCAGTTCTATAATGACAGGTGTTCCTCAGGGTTCAGTTCTATAATGACAGGTGTTCCTTAGGGTTCAGTTCTATGACCACATAAGTTCTTCAGGGTTTAGTTCTATGAGCACAGAAGTTCCTCAGGGTTCAGTTCTATAATAACAGGTGTTCCTCTGGGATTAGATCTGGGCCCTAAAGTGTTTCTTAGGGATCCAATCTAGGGCCACAGTTGTTCCTTAGAGATCAGATCTGTGGCCACAGGCATTCCTCAATTAATTATAGTAATTATTAGGTATTTAAAATGATCTTTGATTAAATGATTTCTAAATTTGAGCAAAATATTGATGTTTTAGAACAACATTTTTATAGAAAGTCCTTTATAAAGTGAAACAAGTAGATTTGGAAAACGAATGTGAGAAAAGGATCCTAACGTTTCTCAGAGCTAAATCATGTTTAGAAACTAAAGCAGTGCTTATGTTTCTGCTGCTTTTGTTAGAGTCAGAGATTCTTTATTGTCATTTGCATCACACGTGGTACATGTAGTGGAATTAAATTGTGTACACAGGGTCCCAGTTGCATCAAACAATAACAAAAATATAAAGTGTAAAAAGAAACAGTAAATAAGGACCTGAGATATAAACTAAGATATACGCTAAACGAATGCCAAACGGTACGCTAAAAGATCTAAGATATATGCCAGTCACTAATGATGCAAAACAATGCACCGAACAACAGCAGCACGATTCTCTTAGGTTCTGTTCAGCTATAATTTACACGCTTAATGTGAGCACTAACATAAACTAACATAAACTAGGATTCATTTAAAGCATGCAACAAAAATGCAGAAAAAAATGCCAAAAGTAAAAAATAAATAAATGAACTGCACCATGGTCCTATTGGCAGAGTGGCTCTGATGACATGGTCCAGTTAGCAGCATGATACTTTTAGTGGCGTGGTGTTGTTAGCAGCGTTGTTAGCAGCGTTAGCTAAATTATTGTTGAATAATTACCAACAACATGGATGTAAAACAATTATTTTATTGTTGTTAGCTGATGTAACTTTTATAAAACATTAATTGCCAATTATGTCAGAACTATTCAAAATGCCCTTTAAAGACAAAGACAAGTGTTATAATCTTACTAGTGTTATAAAATATATCCAAAGGTAAAACGTAAAAACGTGTCAGAAGTTTCCACTTTGAGGAAAACATTTAGATGAACTAAAAGTTAGAGAGATATGTTTTTACTGAAAAATAAAAAATATAAATTTTTCACCTTGTCTACGTGCCGCTTCACGATCCAGACTGTGGTCTTGCCGGGACACAGCTGGGGATCTGATTCTTCTCCTGACACCTCCATATCTGAGGAGAGACTCTGCTCCCTGATGGGGGAGGGCAGGGAGGAGTCAGAGTCCCCTTTACTGGATGTCTTTGTCCCCGTCCTCTCCATATGGTTTGATATTTCATCCTGAGGCCTCAGGGGGACGCCGGCGGTGGGTCTTCCCCCAGGTGAGCTCTTGTGTTGAGGCAGGCGTCTCCCTAGATGTTCTCCAGGTGTAGAGGTTACCTGCTGGTTCTTCAGTTTGTGTCCACTCGTCACCTGTTCAGGAGAAAAGCTCATCATCATCATTCAAGTGCTTCACTGATTATCTTCTCATGTTCATTCACAACACCGAACAGAAACAACTGATTTGTTATTTAAATAAAGTTTCACTAAATATGAAATCAGTTCAGTGCACTCTTGCTTCACTTTGCTTTGTGTCCCACAGAGAGCTGCCAGGCTTGGCTTGTTTGTGGAGTGATGAACTTGAAGGGTGACTGAGTGCAGCTTCTGCAGTTTTATCTGAATGAACGCTGGACTGACGCACAAATCTGTGCTCAGATTTACAAAAACAACACTTGCAGAAGAAGATGGGCGAAGTAAAGAGGCTCAGTCTACCTCCTACGAACTCTGCAGAGAAGATGGGCTCAGAGAGAGATTTTATTTTGCTTTTAAGCCAAAGACAGGTCTGGACATTTTATTAAGATTTTAATTTTGATCAGAATTTGTTTCTTCTAACTCGATTTTATCTTTAAAAGTAATCTAAAGATCTTTGCTCAGGAGAAACAACAACTGCAAAGGTACAACTTAAAGAGGACAAACCTGCAGGCTTTCGTAGGACTGGGAGACCTTTCCTGGATAAACCGAGTCCAGTTCCAGCCAGAACTTAGAGCGGTCTGGGGGATCCACGAGGGACGGGGTGCTCTGGCTCAGCTCCCGCTCTGAGAGATGTTTCATCTTTTTGTAACTTGGTCTGAAGTCCTCCACCCTGGTTCCTCTGCTGTAGAACAAGGCGGCTCTCTTGGGACGTGATGGACGAGTAGGAGACACCTGGGCGCTGAGACTCACACCCTGAAGAGGACGCTTGGAGCTCTCGCTCTGGTTGGACACGCCGCACTGCATTGTGGGTAGTGTGGACAGAGAATGGTTGTGGTTTTCTGAGTCAGACGGCACAGAAAGTTCTGGTAAGCTGCTGTGGAGGTCCTGATTGGAGTCTTGGGTGGGATCTCTCTTTCGTGGGGGGGTCTCCGGCTCGTCACTCGGGCTGTAGTCGCTCAGCTCAAAGGCAGTGATCCCACAGTCCAGAGAGAAGTAGTCCTGACTGCAGCGTATGGTCAGCTGACCGCAGTCGTCAACCTCCGTCAGAGCATCCAGACGGGTCTGCAGAAGAAGAAGTCATCGGTTGGTTTTCACAGCCTTGCTCACCCACAACTATCATTTATTTCCTCAGATGTTTCAGTGTTCAAACCCTTGTTTCATGTCTGTGTGCCTGCCCCGTGTTTTACAACATCTCCTCTGTCTGGTAGCCTGATCTCCAGCAGGCTGCCGCAGATTTACAGAGGGGGTGACGGTGCATCGGCACAACGTGTACCGAAGGAATGCAGCTTTTACGTTCTGCTACACAACAAGAAGAAGCCTGGACAACAGGCAGACCAGAACATAAGGACCTCCCATCACCAGGGTCTGCTGTTTGGCAACATTATACAATGGTACTTCTTCCAGTTACTTAACTGTCAACAGTAGTGTACCACAAGGCTCAGTCTTAGGACCCACTCTCTTTACAATCTACATAAGTAATGCAGGTCAGATCATTCCTGATGCATCCTTACATCTCTATGCCGACGACACAGTTGTTTATTGATGAGCTAAAACAGTTGCTAAGGTTTTCCAGCTTTAACAATCTACACTCACCGTCATCCCGTCAGATTTGTTCCGTCTCAAACTGCTGCTAAATGTTGATAAAACCAAATGGATGTTGTTTTAAAACAGGAAGTTGGTACCAACAGTTCTTCCTCCTAGTTTATCTATGAATGGTGTTCCTATTGAGTTTGTCGATTCTTACAAATACTTGGGAATCTTGGTCGATGCACATCTCTCTTTTAAGCCTCGTGTCAAAAACTTGATAAAGAAGCTGAAATTAAAACTGTTTCTTTTTCAAAAATAGATCTCTGAACGCTAGGAAACTATAGTAACTGCTGCTTTCCTTCCCTCCATTGACAACGGTGACATTATTTACATGAATGCTCCTACAAGCACCCTGCAGATGTTGGACGCTGTCTATCACAGTGCACTCAGTCAGTGCAGTTACAGCGTGCGCTCTCAGGACATCATTACCTGCAGCGCCCCATCAGTGTGGACTGAACTCAGCAAAAGGGTCTTCTTCTACTCTGCTCCTGTTTCCTGGAATATCTTGCAAAAAATATGAAGCTGTCCACTTTGTCCTCTTTAAGGGATTTGAAACATTTGTTAAGTTCAATGCAATAATCAATGCAGACGTTCCTGTTTTAGTATTTTACCACGTTTCATAATGCAACTTGTTTTTATTTTGTTTTATCACTAATTTTATTTACTTTTCATTTTATATGCATTTTATGGCTGTTTATTGATGTGTGTACTTCATCTGTGGTTTTGTTTAACGCAGAACTCTCTTGAAAATGAGTCCTCGTGGCTCAGTTAGACTAAATGTATAAATACATGTTGAATGGCAAAAATTATAGTTTCTAAAACAACTAGAGAGAAACAAAGAGACGGCTCCATCCGACAGAACCCCTGAATGTAAGAAGAACAATGAAGTAAAGTGTAAAACCAGCTGCCTGTAGAGCTCAGACAACAGAACAAACAGCATCACAGGAGACTGGAGCAGCAGACATGAGTCTAAATGTGAAAAATGTCCGTTTTAAACCATAAAAACAAGAGATTTTATATTTTTTATGTTGTTAAAACTTTCATAAATGAAATCAGATTAATTTACTTTGTCAGTATCAACTTCCTGTAAAAAGCTAAAACAAACTTTGAAGATAAATGGGACAAAGTTTGGTGTCCACACCTGGTGCTGGTCCTGGCTGAAGGCCTGGAGGATGTCGGTCTGGCGGGTGAAGTTTCCGTTGGAGTCCTGCAGACCCTGCAGCAGCCGCTCCTTCAGGACCAGAACCGACACTCGGAGCTGGTGCCACAGCAGCTGCACGGTTCTGAACCAACAACAACAACAACAGCTGCTGATGACGCCGCCTCGTGTGTCAGTCTGCGGCTTCCTGTGAGCTTACCTGATGTCCACGATGATGTTAACGGAGTAGGAGAGGAGCTTCAGGGAGAACTCGGTCTCCAGCAGGGCGTGGATCTGCTCCACGTGGTCCGAGATGTCCTCACAGATGTCCTGAGGACACACAGAGGGACATCACAAACCTGAGCTCACTGTGTGAGGGCTACAACATCTGCACGGTCAGGAAAATAAAAAAGCAGAACTGATCCGACTTTTAACCATGACTCAGGTCCACATGGGACCAGTTCCAGGTTTGGTCCAGTCTCAGAGTCCTGGTGAGCTAAAGTCAGATGCTGTAAAAACCGTCAGACAAACCGACTCTGAGCTCCAAAAATATCTGCAGCTGCAGCGAGGGTCAGACGTTTAACTCCACATAACCACCGCGCACAGCTCGGCTGCCCGATTCTTTTTAAAGAACTGAATGTTTTTTATTTTGGGGTCAACAGCAGCAGGTGCTCGTGTTTTATTTATCTCCAGGAGACAGTTTTTAATTCATAACAGCTAAAGACGTGTTTCTGTTTGACCCGGTGAGCTGTTTGTTCTGTAGTTTAGCTGTTATCTCACAGTTCTCGCTGCTGAAGCTGCGAGTTGAAATGTTCTTACTCTGACCCACACACTGAGCGCTCAGAAAGAACGTAATGTTTCTGATCGAAGTGCGAGAAAGGAAACGACGTTGGGCTGAGCAAAAAGAAGGGAGAGTCTAAAAGACTCGGCTAGTTGTGCAGAAGTTCGGCTGCAGGTTGAGCTTATAGAAGCCGAAGTGTCTCGTTTATCTTTGATCGAACTAAACGACGACAGCTCCGTCTGAAACTGACGTGAAAATTCAGGGTTTTCTCTGGTCACCCCCCCACACACACACACACACACACACACACACACACTCATGTAGCGGGCAAACATGTAAACTCCATCACACGACACACACCCCCAGCAATTTGTAGAACTGGATCAGAACTCCAGCTGATGTTCAATCTCAACCACAGAGCGTCTCCACGGTGACCGAACCGAACACACAACACTCCCGACCCCCCCGACCCAGGAGAATGTAGGTCACACATGCTGCCAGTTGGCTCATGTGAGCTCGTCCAACACTTTGACCTGCTGAGCACCGGTCCAAAACACATCCGATCCAACTCCGCTGTCCACAGAGCTCAACAACACCATGGTTTACCGTGTCCCCCCAGGACTGTAAAGTTGGACAGAGGTTTACT